TTTTTAACATTTTTAACTTACTGTCTCCGCACATACATTTTCCACGCAAAACAAACCAAAACAGCTCTCAAGTAATGTAAACAACTATAAAACCATACACAAAGTACAAATATATTAGTTTATATATTCTGCTGTATACTCTGCTTTACCGAAAAAAGTGGAGCCCCCCGCAGGGGGGCGGAACCTACTGTCTCCACGCATACACTGTCCACGCAAACCGAGGTTCACGCACCCCCCCCCGCGCTTTCGGGGGAGGTGCGGTAGTCCCGAAATAGTTCACGCATACACTTTCCACGCGAACCGAGGTTCACGCAAACCCCCCCCCCGTGCTTTCGGAGGAGGTGCGGTAGTCCCGAAATATTAATGTTTATGTATTTAATTATAAATTAAACTATAAGTTGCTGTGCATATGTTCACATTCCTGCATCTTAGGAATATTTTGTCGTGAAATATTTTGCCAGGAAATATTTTGTCATGGGACATTTTGCCAGGGGATATTTTGCCATGGAATATATTGTCGCGGGATGTTCTGTCGCTGGGATAAAAGACCGGAATATTTTGTCGCGGGATGTTATGTCCGGGATATTTAGACATGTAACCCCCGTTTGCGGATTTAAAATATCTCTAAGAACGGCGGAGATAACTCTTGCCGTAAAATCTGATTTTTATTGCATATTTCCATGCGACTCATCTTATTTTGAAATTCCCGTACAATCACCCCTTTAAAACTACAAACGAAACTAGCGGCCATACAAAGACGTACAAACGATTCCGAAACAGCACCCGTTTGCGGATTTAAAATATCTCTAAGAACGGCGGAGATAACTCTTGCCGTAAAATCTGATTTTTAATGCATATTTCCATGCGACTCATCTTATTTTGAAATTCCCGTACAATCACCCCTTTAAAACTACAAACGAAACTAGCGGCCATACAAAGACGTATGTACATATATTTTACTTCTTACTATTAGAGCATATGTTATTTACAACTTCATTCAATTATATATTTTAAAATTAGCAATCTTTGTTAAAGCAAAAAATAGTAGAAAGCATAAATACAGAGTAATAGGCAAAATCCGACCAATAACCTCCCCGTAGTGTTCATCGGGTAATACTAATGTTGGCGGTAATTGAATGCACAAAAATGCATAGGTAACTTTGATAAGTCATAACTCGGCGAAAAAAATCGTACGGACTGAATTTTTTTTTAATTTGCAGGGAAAAGTCTATATTTTACGATGATTGCCATGATAGTTACGAAAAAAATTCATTCTACTCCGTAGAATGTGTCAAAGTATGCAATTTTTTGGACACCGAACACGTCCTTACTTTTGGAAGAACGGCGGGAGGGGAGAGACTAAATTCAAAATCTAACAATGCGGTTCCTTAAAGTACAGACTTCACCCTTTAAAATGAAAAAAAAATCTTTCAGGTATGACAATTTTTCGCGGAGTTATGCTTATTTGAATTTGGGCAAATTTTTGACGTAAATTTTTGTTGCGATAATTTTGTTGCTCAGTGTATATTATACTAAGGCCGGTATTCATAGTCGGTTCTTATATTTAAGACCGTCTTAAGTACAATCTTAAGATGTTATTTGAACCAATCACAGAGCCGTATTAGCATCTTAAGACATTACTTAAGACGGTCTTAAAATAAGAACCGCCTATGAATACCGGCCTAAGGGCTGCGTTCGAAAACGTCACCCGAGTATACACGAGTATACTCCCTTCTCTTTCTATCTCAGCGAGTTAGAAGGAGAAGGGAGTATACCCGTGTGTACCCGGGTGACGTTTCCAAACGCAGCCAAGGCCAAAAGCTAAGTGATACGCAAATGGTTACTCTCTCCCGCTTACATGCATGTGTACTTCCATCCAGTTACAATAAAATAACTGCTATATTTTCCAAACTTTTTTTGTGAATAACTTTTTAATAAAAAACGAGCGACGGCTAAAACCTTTTGAAGGTTACTCAGGAGGGTGATCTTGACAACGTATGTCAAGGTCAAGGTCATTGGCGGGGGCTGTGTAAAAGTAAATATTTATCATAAAAACCAATAGTAATTAACTACTATTTGCAGTGCAATTACTAATTACTGCAAAATTGCAGTGCACTGTAACGCTCAAATTTGGATGCTAGGCCCCTAGCGTCTGTTGACGCTGAAAAATCCAGCGTCAAGCGAGGATCGAGCACACACTTCTGCACAACGCATAATGTGTAAGCATAAGAAAACTGATTGGTCCATCCAGGTTCGAACTTTGGATTTAAGTATGTGGATTTACTATTTCTATAAAAAGCTATGTTATTTTTAAGACCGACAAATAATCAGCGCGTATAATTTACTGACATGAGTTGGAAAAAGTATACAAAATTCACACAGAAATATCATTATTATATGCTACCAAGATCCAGCCCGACTAAAAAAAGACATTTTCTTTAATTAATTATTACATCAAAATTATATACTTACACTCACGGTTGTTATACAACCGTGCTTACGCTACATTTGACGTATCGAGTAAACAGAATGCTACGTATCTATGGAAACCTTTATTATCCCCCTTGAAGCTATGTGTGTACTCACTACTCACCACTCATTAGCAAACAGGCGTTCGGTTTCTACCGGGTTATATTTTTGCTGGGCGTAAATATAAACGAACGGACGCATTTATACTGATAAAACGAAATGCTGGAAGACGAATCGCAGGAACATGAACGCGAATATCGCGACGAAGAAAAGTGGGAAGCGGGAAGAGACGATGACGGAGTACAGGAGAGAACCTATGACTCAAATAAATATGTATCCAGACCGAGACGCGTGCCAAATGGAACTGTGCCCATGAACATTTTACAGTTTCAGTATCCTTTTTATATTGTATAAACTATAAAAGAAATTGCTGGCTTTCTCCTTTTCTTTTCGTGCCGCGCAAATGTTCACCGGTACCGTGATAGGACGAATCGTATATGAATATTCCGTAAAATATCGCTGAAAGTGTCCCTGGTGAAAATAAAAATCAGAGTGTAAAGGGAGAACATAAGAAAATGACAGAAGCATAAACGAAAGCCTCTATTAATTTTTGCTGTTCCAATTATTACTTCCTAGAAGTCGTTACTGTTATTTTTCCTTAATTTACATTTTATTTATGCTCTGATCTTTATTTTCGCTAGGGAATTCGTATAAGATTCTAAAAATGCGTGAATTATTCATATTTCCGTCTAATTTGTATGGATATATGCATATAACGATACATTTTTTTTATTAATTGAATTATGATTTATTCCGCGTTCCTTCTCCTTGATACGCTTTTTTCAAGATATTATTAAAAATTCTAAAATATTATTTTACAATGGAGATTGCTCGATATATAATAATTTCCTTCTTTCTCGAGCTTTCTTCGTTAATTTCTATCTTCCGTTAATTGCGTTGCGGAAATCTTCGTTAGTTGTTGCTTCTTTCTTTCTTTCTTGCCTTGATTTTTAAGGTATTGTTTTCGAGTAAACCGAATTTACAGAATGGAATTTAACGGGGCGATCTAGAAGTTTTCTAAAGCTTTCAAAGAATTTAATAAACGTGAGCTGTGCAAAGAGCTCGTAATTGAAAATATACATATGTTTCTTAGATAATATTAGTCATTCGTTTTCGTACGATTGTCAGAGGTATTTTAATCTTTGCGTGGTAGAACCGAATGTCGTCGTCTTTGCTTCTGGTAATATTCTACATTTCTTGAATACCGCAACAAATGAGCTGTGGTTTAGAAGAGGATGCACGGGCGGTGGAATTGGACACGTGACGGTATTCTTTATTTATAATGTAGTACACTCTATTATAATGTAGTACTTGCTTGGAGAGAGTTGTATGCAAATAAAAGAATTCTGGCAAAGCAAGAATGCAATAAGAGAATATAAAATCTAATTCGTTTTCGTTACATTTTCGTTACATTTTAATAAATTAAACAAAAATAATTTTGATATAAAAACGTGAATATATAATTTGTCACAGTATTATTCTTCTGTCTCTCCAGAAAAATCCAACGTTTGACCATATTGCTGTTGGCGAAAATGGTATTAAACCTCCAATAATAATTTATAAATGGCCTTCAATGGATATTGTGACAATTTTACACAATGGCACAATAAAGACCTACTGCCATTTAGCATACAGGTATTCCACAAAGGATTAAGGCATAAGATCGCATTATTGCTGTATTACATATTTTAAATAAATGTTTACGTACTTTTGCAGTGTGGATGGTTTGTTGCTGGTGTCGCAAGGAGGAGATCCAGATTACACCCTTACCCTTTGGAATTGGCAAAAGTCTGAAGTAGCGTTAAAATGTAAATCTTACAATCGGGATGTTTACAATGTAACGATATCTCCATCGTTACCTGGATATTTAGTGACAAGCGGCTCGGGACATATAAAATTTTGGAAAATCTCTGAGACGTTCACCGGGCTTAAATTAAAAGGCGAAATTGGTAGATTTGGTCAGACAGAGCTCTCTGACATTGTGGGCGTGTATATCATGCCAGACGGAAAGGTAAGTATTGCGGAAAGGTAAATCTTTGACTATATAACCATGTAAAATAAAATCAAACTTGCATTATAATTTAACATATTTTTATTATTTATATATTCATTATCTTGTAATGAAATAAAAATAATATAAAATGCTTAAAAATTTTACAAAAAATGTTTTTTACTAGATGAAAAAGTATTACAGATTTATTAATTTTTTCTGACAATAGTATATTATACAACTAGTGGAAAAAGTGGTCGATTCTGAATGAGTGTAAAGTTGGTCGCACGAGCGAAGCGAGTGCGACCATCACACTCATTTGGGCTCGACCACTTTTCCCACGAGTTGTTCATACTATTTTTCCTAACAAGAGCGTGAAACAGGCCGCTTTTCGCGCTTGTTTTACAATTTCATTTCTCCACTAGTTGAGAAATGGCTCCATTTTTCAACGCTTACGTCATCATTGCGAAATGGATCGTTTTGCTCACTCAAAACAAGCGCGAAAAGCGGCCCATTTTACGCTCGCGTTAGGAAA